TCTCACTAGTGCAACTTGAACGCCACTAAAGGACTTTAACCTACTGTGACATTCTCCATAAGTATTAAAAGCAACACTTCCTCACTATGATACACTATCATCCTGTCCCATACTTGCATTTCTTTATTCATCCTGAGGGGAAAAGATAATATTTGGTTCTACCCAGTACCTAATTCAAAAAGTACAAAAATAAAACTTCATACTGTTATGAAGGAGTGATTCTGTAAGCAAGTATCGCTGGGTAAGGCCCCTCAGACAGGTGTTAATTAGTCCTCAAAGTGGGAGCAAGTGATCAAGCTGACAGCATTTCTCAGCCCCTATAAATCTTTGAGTTAACCTGCTAAGAGGGGGAGAGAACAGGCCATAGATTAGATTGCTGTTTGACGTCTGTAGCTGGTGCCAGAGAAGATGCCAATAAAGCCTGATAACCTGTTCAGTGCTTATGTGTGAGTTATTAGAAGCTTGGAGGGAGGACTTTGGAAAGCGACCTCCTCCTTGGCACATACTGCTTTTAAGTACCGTAGGTGATAATCCAAAACCTTCAAATGTAACCAACAACCACCATTTTGTAATATTTCAATTCTTTGGATACTATATTAATTCCTTCCCTCCTCCCACAATTTAGCTCCATGAATTTCTGAGAAGGGTCTCCTTTAACAATAGTGCTGGGAAAGAGGTTTCATTTGACCAGAATGGGGAATTAAAAACTGAATTTGATATTATCAACTGGGTCACCTTCCCAAATGAGTCATTTCTTAGAGTCAAAGTTGGAATGATGGACCCACTGGCTCCTCTCAAAAAAGGGTTGACCATTTATGATAATGCCATTGTGTGGCCTAGCAGGTTCAACCAGGTAAGGTCTGCTTCATGTGAACTTCAGACGTGTATGCAAAACTGCTTCAGTGATATATATATATATATATATATATATATATATATATATATGATGTGAAAGGTGTGACCCCAGGCCTGCCTTGATGTAGATCAAAAGAAGCTATTTCTTTCGGTGATGGGAACATATAGGGGCAAATATTCAGTTATAGCCAACTAAGGTGGTAGAAGATTTAGACTGGGTAAAAGGTAACATTCAAAAAAGTTCTATAGGTCAGCTATTAGTTCATCTTAAGAAATAAAGAAGAGTACAGTAGATCCATACACTCATTTCTGGTACAGTGGAACCTCGGTTTTCGACCATAATACGTTCCAGAAGACCGTTCGACTTCTGAAATGTTCAAAAACTGAGGAGCAATGGGTGGTTGGCAAAATCCATTGAGAAAAAAGAAAAAACATGCAGTGGAAGCTGTTTGACTTCCGAGGCGTGTTCGAAAATGGATGTAATTACTTTCAGGTTTTCGGCATTCAGCTTCCGAAACGTTCGGCTTCCAAGATGCTCGAAAACCCAGGTTCCACTGTATTATGGAAAGGGTGCAAGCAACATTGTTTCCCACTGTTTTGGTCTCTGAACTAATAACATTCTAAGTCGATAATATCAGGACCCCTAGTTGCAAACTAATATGTTGAGAAACTGACCAAGCAAAGGTCGTAGCTGAAAATAAAACTAAATTGAAAAATATAAAGATAGTAAAGCAGAGGCTAATTCTGCAAGGATGCAATATGGAGAGATTTCATGAAAGGCAGAGAATTTTGGAAAATATCATTCAGATGTGATTGATAATACACTGTGGTAGCTTTGAGGGAGTTGTTGTATAATCAATATGATTATGATAAAGGTTTTTATGAAGGCACAGTTGCTGGAGAAATGACAAAGATTCCAATACGGCAGCTTTTACTGGAGGTGAAAGGGATCACAGGGCAGTCTACAACAAAACACACAACACAATAACAAACAAAAGCAATAACTCAATCTCCACAGTATCAACCAATAAACTGTAGTTATCTAAAGATGGGTCAGTGAGTGACACACTTCAACATTATTTCCTCTTTCATTTATGGACAGGTACAACCCCTTTCTGTGTGTAATGAGAATTGCCTTTTAGGCTATAGTCGGACCAAAAAGGAAGGAGAGCCATTTTGCTGCTATGGTTGCCTTCCATGTCCAGAAGGGAGAATTTCTAACCAGAAGGGTAAGATTTGTTGTGTACACTATTTATAAATTATGCCAGATATGATCTAGTAAATTTACACCAGAAACTAGTTTCCTTGATGTTTTAAGTGTAAGAACAGGGGAGATAAGATGTTGTTGTCTTATATTACTGTTGACGTGGGTCCACTTTGGTGCAGAAGTTTTCAATTTCATGATAGGTCTGGGGGAAGGATTTCAGCAAAACTAGAGATGAGAAAGGAATTGATAACTTTTGCTTAGTTATATCTTGGGAAAGAATCTTTATTGTAAGACCAGTTGGTCTCAATAGGTGCATTACTGTAAGGGCTGCAGCTTGTTAAGGTTCTCTTGAACACAATGTCCTGAGAAGAAATCAGTCATGTATTTCAATAGCACTATAGAAGCAGTCATTTAAAGCTATTATAATGTTATGCTTGCTTTTAACCAGAGTTTCCATGCATAAAAATGACTCTTTTCTTTTCCAGATATAGATGACTGTTTTGAATGCCCTGAAGATCAATATCCAAACAATGGCCAGTATGAATGCATTGTGAAAGCAATAACCTTCTTGTCTTATGGAGAACCTTTGGGGGTTAGTTTGGCTGTTTGTACTCTACTCTTGTCATTTGTCACTGCTTGGGTGCTCTGGATCTTCATTAAGCACAAAGAAACTCCCATAGTCAAAGCCAATAACCGGAACCTCACCCATACTCTCCTCATCTCACTCCTGCTCTCATTCCTTTGCCCTTTGCTTTTCATAGGCCAGCCTGAGAAGTTTACATGCCTCTTTCGACAAATTGCTTTTGGCATGATCTTCTCAGTGGCCGTTTCTTCTATTCTGGCCAAAACCACCACAGTGGTTCTAGCTTTCATGGCCAACAAACCAGGATCTAGGGTGAGGAAATTGGTGGGAAAACGATTGGCTACCTCCATTGTTCTTTCCTGCTCCCTTATTCAAGCTACAATTTGTAGTGTGTGGCTGACAACCTCTCCCCCGTTTCCAGTCCTTGACATGCACTCGATGACTGAAGAAATTGTGCTTGAATGTAATGAGGGTTCAACTATCATGTTTTACTGTGTCTTGGGATTTATGGGTGTCCTTGCTGCTGTCAGTTTCACAGTGGCCTTTTTAGCTAGGAAGCTGCCGGACAGTTTTAATGAAGCCAAGTTCATCACCTTCAGCATGTTGGTCTTTTGCAGTGTGTGGTTATCCTTTGTTCCAACCTACTTGAGCACAAAGGGAAAATACATGGTGGCAGTGGAGATCTTCTCCATCTTGTCCTCCAGTTTTGGGTTACTGGGCTGCATATTTTCTCCTAAATGCTATGTCATTTTGATGAGACCTGAGTTGAACAACAAGGGACAGCTAATTAGAAGAAATGACTAGAGAATCAATGGGTCCAATGTTAACTAAATATTTTTCCACTCAAAAGTATGCAATTAATAATGAGTGATACATATAAGGAGATCACACACATACTGTTCTGTAGAAAATAAACAATTTATTATTAAATAAACAAATAAATAAATAATCATAAGAGCTTGTCTGTCCATTTATGTCAACATCCTCCCTGAAAGTATTATATTCTCTCTGATTACAAGCCTAACCTGTGAGCTACATTGCAGTTTTCCTACCCTGGCATTTTCTATATTTTCTCCAATATGAGAGGCAATATGTCCTCCTTGAGGGCTTTTGAGGAGCAACTGCTTGGCCACTCTGAAAGCAAAATGTTGGACAACATAGGCCCTTGGTCTTATCCAGCAGCTCTTCCCTTCCCTTCCCTTCCCTTCCCTTCCCTTCCCTTCCTTCAAAACACTTGGAGATTATTTTGGGTTTTATCAGGGTATTCTAGAGCTGGCCAAAAGACTTTTAATTTAGTATTGTCCATTGATCATCAGTGGGTCTGATCTGTGAATGACTTAGGATACATCTTATCTTTAATGAAAAACAGATTGCTCACCCAAAAGCTTTTCTCTTAAAGTTTGATTATCCCCTGAAAGTTGCTGATATTCTTCTATAAATACTTTATTAGGGGAAAGATGATCCAAGCAACGCAGGGGAGCAGAACTGAGTCATTAACATCAAATATGGAGAAATGTATATTAGTATCCTAGCCAATACTTGGCTTGAAGGTGGTATCAGATAAATTTTGGGGGTGGGGTAAAAAAAGGCATCAAAGTTTAATGATTCCCGTGAGCTTAAAATGCATTAGAAAACTTTTATGTTCACTCTTCACTGAGCTGCCCCTATTGTGCTCATTTTTGAGAGTTTTTATTTTTCTGGACTGAAACTTTTGTGATGGATATGTAAAAATAATTACAATTATTTTACTATATTAAAAAAACAGGACACAGAAAACAATGAATTTCTGAAACTGTAGTTACTGGGAAACTGATTACTTGCAGACAATAGAAGTTTTCATTTGAATAGCTGATGTATTTTCAGTCTTGATAAACTGGCAATGTTCATAAGTTGCACACGAGTTTTTACATCAATAGTTACCAGCGAAGTTGCTATTCTATTTTTTTTTTTTTTAAATAAATTTTTATTAATTTTCCAAACACAAAATAAAAAGACAAACAATACACAATATACCGACATACCAACATATAAACATATATAATTTCATAACCATTTTTTCATAAACCTTACTTTCCGGACTTCCCCATACCTCCCCTTTTCTGCATCCTTGTTTTATATTTTTCCAGCAACTCCTCAGTCAACTAATTATTCAATTCATTTTCTTTTAAATTCTTCTAATATTGTTAATTACAGCTGCAATTCTCTATTTCCCTACCCCTTGACATTTTAACATTCCTGAATTTTACAACAAGTTCTAAGATAAACTTTGAATTTCTTCCAGTCTTCTTCCACTGTCTCTTTCCCCTGGTCACGGATTCTGCCAGTCAACTCCGCCAGTCCCATGTAGTCAATCACCTTCCGGTCGGCGCCAGCGTTTAATGGCGGTCCTCGCTTCGAGCTCCGGAGGAGGACTGCTTCGCGAGTTCGGGTCTGACCCGCTACGGCGAGCGGGGGACCCCTAAAATCACAGGCGCTGAAGCCTGTGAACAAGGAGACTCGGTGGGCACCTTTTGCGCCCCTCGGTACTGTGAAAGAGCCTTTTTAAAGGCTACGGAGCGGCATCGGGGGTGAGCGCGGTGCTGAGAGTCGCAACCCAGCTCGTGGAGTGAAGCCGCATCGCCATGAACGGAGAGCGCCGATTCCTTCCTGAACCATAAATTCGACTGTAAACCCCGTGAGTAAGACGGAGGGATTGAATGGGACATTTAAATTTAAATTCTGAAATTTGGCTGAAAACGGGAAAGGCATAAATTAAGGAAGTCTGCCTCCCCGATCTGCATGGCAATTAAAGCAACGAAAGAGCAAAGCTGCATTTGAAAGAAAACTATCTTTGAGCTGTCAAACCTGACATTTGACTTAAACTTCCCCCCAGTAAGCAGGAGAAGGGGGGAAGAAAATTGGACACTGTTAATCTGCCTGAAATTAACTGAGGAAAAAAACATCTTTCACTGCCAAATCCCCTGAACGGACTGCCTGAGTAAGGCACTGGGAAAGTGAACTGTCAGTTTAGACTGGATACAAAGTTGGGGTTTTGTCTGAGACAAAGTTACGGGACTTTAATGGAATTACTTTGTTGAACTTGTGACTATACTGAAAAAGTGCGACAGAAACTTTTACTGTGGACTCTTGGCATTTTTGTTGATTGCTCTATGTTCCTTTGTTTTTTCTCTTTTCACTTGGATACAATTAAATGCTCCCTCTAGAGGGTATAAAGAGAAACTGTTATAGTGAAAAAGAAACAGTGGGATTTTCCACTTGCAAGTCTTTCCTGTGAGAACGACCTTGAGGATATGAGTGGTCCAGCAGAAGAGATAACAACTAGATCCAAAGCAAAACAGACACAAAAGAAAAGGGGCTCAATATCTGGCATACCACCAGCTGCACAGGAAAAAGTGGCAACAGCATCTATGGATTCAATGACACAGGCACTGCTCAAAATAAACCAATCTTTAGAAGCACTGACAAAGCTATCTACGGAAAATTCAAAAAAATTGACAGAACTGACAGCAAGATTGGACTTGAATACTGCAAGTGTAACATCTAATACAGAATCTATTAATAAATTAATTCAAGAAAGTTCTGAAACACGAAAGATTGCTGAAAGTGCAAAAAATACTGCAGAGGAGACAAGGGAGGAGCTTGTGCCGATTACAAAAAAAGTGAATGAACATGATGCAGCCCTATCTTTGCTGGAATTACAGAGAAAAGAGAAATCTGAAATTGAGATTGGTTCCCGAGAGTGAGGGAGATAGCCTTGTGGACTTCCTTACACAGAACTTTATGGAATTTTGGCAAAAGGAGCTGCAGGAAGAAGATCTTGAAATAACAACAGCTTTTCGGCTGGGCAGGAGGCAAGGTAAGAAGCCAAGGGATTGTTTGATTACATTGAGATCCAAAGGAGAAAGAGATAAAATATTGAACTTGCATTACCAAAAGGCATTGGAGATTGAAAATAGTCAAGTACAAATTTTTAAAGATATCCCTAAATATATTTTGGAGGTGAGAGCCTTCTATAAAGATTTGGTCTACCTGCTGAAGAAAAATATCATACCCTTCAGGTGGGAGTTTCCACAAGGATTGTCTTTTACTTTCAAAGGAAGGAAGGTCAAAATAAGAACAGTTCAAGATAAAGAACAGTTTTTGGAGAGATATCAGGAGGACTTGCAGAAAGGAACAGTAGAAACAACAATACAAGAAAAAGGAGTGACAGACATTGCAAACTTGTCATTTGGACTCATACCACCATCTGTAGATGAACAAAAGTTAGGAGCAGTCGGTGGAACAGGTACCTAAATAACAAAATGTCTCTGCAGCTTCTTAGTTGGAATTGTAATGGTTTGAACCTTCCCCGAAAAAGACGTCAAGTTTTTCATATTTTGAAAAGAGAACAATTAGACCTAATATGTCTACAAGAGACCCATGTGACCAGGACACATAGGAAATTATTGGTAAATAAGAGACTTGGACAGGAATTTATTTCATCAGACAAAGTTAAGAAAAGAGGCGTGGTGATCTATGCAAAAGAAAAATTGGCCCCAAAGATGATATTTAAAGATGAACAAGGAAGATACCTGGCAATTGAAATACAAGTTCAAGGAGAAAAAATCTTGATAGTCGGAATTTATGCACCAAATGACGGGAAGGCGGAATTCTTTAAGAAGCTGCATGAGACTTTAATGGACTATTTAGACTATAGAGTAGTAATGATGGGAGACATGAATGGTGTAGTTTCCACAAATATGGACAAAGCACAAAGACAAGTAATTTCCAAGGAAGGAGACTACCAAAGACTTTTTTGAAATGACTGAAACTATGGACTTGATTGACATTTGGAGAACAAGGAACCCTCTTGAGAGAGAGGAACTTTTTCTCTGAAGCAAAAATGACATGGACAAGAATTGACCAAATTTGGGTAACTAGCAGTATGGCGCCAAGGATCAAAAAGGTAGAAATCTGCTCAAAGACTTGCTCCGACCATAATGCTGTAAAGATGGAGATGAAACTAGCATCAACTGGATCCTTTAGATGGAGAATGAATGACACCCTATTTAGAGATGAAGAGATTTATAAGAAGGCCCAAAAAACACTGAAAGATTACTTTGAGATAAATTTGAGAACAGAAGTGGAAAAAAGAATAATCTGGGACGCAAGTAAGGCCGTGATGCGAGGTTTTCTAATACAACAGAACTCCATAAAGAGGAAAAATCAAAATGAAAGGAAAGAAAAAATTCTGGAAAAAATAAAAGAAGGTGAAAAGAAATTGAGGTCTAAACCAAAGTCCCATGAGATTCTGAGAGAAATAAAGCACTATCAGGTGCAATATATGGAATTGATGAACCAAGAGATAGAATGGAAAATAAAACAAATGAGGCAAAAGACATTTGAATCAGCAGATAAATGTGGGAAATTTCTGTCATGGCAATTGAAAAAGAGGCAAAAACTGAACACTGTGACAAGTTTAGAAGTGGATGGAAAAATTATCCATAAACCAAACGAGATAAGTAATTGTTTCCAAAGTTACTTCAGGAAATTATATGCACAAGGGCCAGTCAACGAACAGGAAATAGAAGAATTTGTTAAGAAACATGGATTACCAAAAATTTCAGAGCAAAGCAGAAGGATTTTGAATGAGAAAATAACAGGACAAGAAATAGAGGGTGCCATTCAGAAGATGCAATTGGGAAAATCTCCAGGACCAGATGGTTTGACCGCCAGATATTATAAAGCGTTGAAGGAATGGCTAGTACAACCACTGAAGGAAGTATGCAATGAAATTTTGGAGGGGAAAAAGGCACCAGAGTCGTGGAAAGAAGCCTTTATTTCACTTATACCGAAAACTGAAACTGAAAAGAACCAGGTTAAAAACTACCGCCCTATATCATTACTTAATGTGGATTACAAAATTTTTGCAGACATTATGGCAAAAAGACTGAAGAGAGTGTTGGTAGGGGAGATTCATAAGGACCAAACTGGCTTTCTTCCAGGGAGACATATGTCGGACAATGTGAGGAACATTATAGACATTTTGGAACTGTTAGAAGTGGACATCAATAGGAAGGCTGTTTTAATTTTTGTGGATGCGGAGAAAGCCTTTGATAATATTGGTTGGAGCTTTATGAAGAAGAATCTCCAAGGGATGGGGGTAGGTCAAGGGTTTGAAAACGGTATAGGTGCAATATATTCTAAACAAAAAGCAAAGTTAATTGTAAACAATGTGGTCATGGAAGAAATATCTATAGAAAAAGGTACACGACAGGGGTGCCCAATATCCCCTTTACTTTTTATATTAGTCCTGGAGGTTTTGTTAAACATGATTAGAGGAGACCAGTTGGTTAAAGGAGTACAAGTCGGAGCTAGACATTACAAGCTAAGGGCATTTGCAGATGATCTAGTACTGACCTTGCAACAGCCAGATACTAGTACTAAAAGAGTATTAGAACTAATTGAGATATTTGGTCAAGTAGCAGGATTTAAACTGAACAAGCAGAAAACGAAAGTGTTGGATAAAAATTTAACATTGGCTGAAAAGAGAAGTTTCAGAATGAAACAGGTTTAGTGATAACGAAAAAGTAAAGTATCTGGGGGTAAACTTAACATCTAAGAATGTCAATTTATTTAAGGACAATTATGACAAATGTTGGACAGAGGTAAAGAAAGATCTAGAAATATGGTCAAGGTTGAAACTCTCTTTGTTAGGTCGAATTGCTGTTATCAAGATGAATGTATTGCCTAGAATGTTGTTTTTATTCCAGACATTGCAGATCTTGGACAAGATGGACTGTTTCAAGAAGTGGCAGAAAGATATATCTAAATTTGTCTGGCAGGGCAAAAAACCCAGAATAAAATTTAAGATTCTAACTGATGCAAAAGATAGAGGGGGGTTTGCCCTGCCGGACTTAAGACTCTATTATGAATCGGCGGCTTTCTGCTGGTTGAAACATTGGCTACTTCTTGAGAATACAGACATTTTGGATCTAGAAGGGTTTGACAATAGATTTGGCTGGCATGCATATATATGGTATGATAAGGTAAAACTGCATAAAGGTTTCAAAAACCATATTGTTAGGAAAGCATTATATAATGTTTGGATGCGGTATAAAGATTTACTGGAAAGTAAAACTCCCAGGTGGCTGTCACCAATGGAAGCTAAAGAGGTGAAAAAACTTAATATGGAGTCTAAATGGCCAAAATATTGTGAAATTTTAGAACAAGATGGGGAAAAAGTTAAATTACAGAGTTATGAGAAATTAAAGTCCAAAGTGCGAGATTGGTTGCACTACCTTCAGATAAACGAGACATTTAGACAGGACAGGAAAATAGGTTTCCAGATGGAGAGGTCAAAATTAGAAACAGAACTGTTAGAACCCAATACTAAGAATCTGTCGAGAATGTATAATCTGCTGTTGAAATGGAACACACAGGATGAAATGGTGAAATCAGCTATGATAAAATGGGCACAAGACATTGGTCATAACATTATGTTTGCTGACTGGGAACAGCTCTGGACCACAGGTACTAAATTTACGGCATGTAATGCCTTAAGAGAAAACATTATGAAAATGATGTACAGGTGGTACATGACCCCAGTCAAGCTTGCAAAAATTTATCATCTGCCCAATAACAAATGTTGGAAATGTAATGAGACTGAAGGTACTTTTATCACCTTTGGTGGACCTGCCCGAGGATAAAAGCTTTTGGGAAATGATCTATAATGAAATTAAGAAGGTCCTTAAATGGACCTTCCCTAAAAACCTGAGGCTTTTCTCCTGGGCATTGTCGGCCAATTGGTGAGAAGGAAGGACAGGACGTTTTTTATGTATGCGACCACAGCAGCAAGGATTCTTCTAGCAAAGTATTGGAAGACACAACAACTACCCACACTGGAAGAATGGCAGACGAAGGCGAAGTTGCTATTCTATAAGATATATTTCCTTTCTAAGATATCAGCTTTCTGAGTTATTTTCTAGTTTGTGTGCTGATGCTCATTAGAGCTTTCTCTATACTTAAGAGGACCAGCTGAAACTTTTGCCGGGATGTGACAAATATTTTTCTTTTGCCATGTTATAGGGAGTAATTACTAGGAATTATATTTTCTGTAATCATCAAATTAATCACAATCACTACTTCTCTGTATCTCTAGAGGGTTCCAGTACCAACATGGAAAACTATGAGCTAAGACTGGAAGATTAATATGCCCTGTGATATTCAAGCTTAGGCAGACAGACACTCAGTGCTCCATCAGTCTGATCAATGAGTCTTTACACTCAGGAGATCTGGCTTTTGTGGCCATTCTAGTGACTTGTTACTGCTCAAGAATACTCAAATGGCAGTGTGCAAAGAGAGGAATTATTTCCTCCCAAAATCCTGCAAGCTGGTACTCTATGCAGTATTGAAATTAATGCTATTTTCTCTAAATGAGGGTAACACTCCGATTGCTCAATGTTCCATCAGGCATCCTCTTCCTATTCTTCATGAATATTATCAGTCCGGAGACATCGTTGTTGCTGGCATTATTTCTCAAATCTATATAACTTCAAGTGTAGCCTTCAATATACCACCCTCTCCTGAATTCCTTGAGGACATTATGTAAGGAATTGTTTGTGTGAGCATGTGAGCATGTGAGTTTAAAACCATAGGATCTTTCTGTAATGA